TGTCCCCACCACTGTCCCGCTGTCCCCTCACCACTGTCCCCACCAACACCGTCCCCACCACTGTCCGCACCCCCACTCGGTTTTCGAGGGGGGGGGGGGTTCGAACCGGTAGTGACCCCCCCGGTTTCGGTTTTCGAGGGGGGGGAGGGGGGGAGGGGTTCGAACCGGTAGTGACCCCCCCCCTTTTCATGATGAGCTGGGGGGGGGGGGGGGAGGGGTTCAAACCGGTAGTGACCCCCCCGGGTTTTCCGGAGGGAGGGGGGGGGTTCCGGAGGGGGGGGGGAGGGGTTCGAACCGGTAGGACCCCCCCCCGGTTTCTCCGCCAGCAGCGGTTAGAACAAGCTTTTTTTTTTTTTTGTTTTTTTTTTCTTCATCGTTTTTTTTTTCTCTTTTTTTCTTTTTCTTTTTTTTCTTTTTTTTTTATCCTTTTTTTTTTTTTTTCTTTCTTTTTTTTGTTCTTTTTTTTTTTCTTTTTTCTTTTTTTTTTTTTTTTTTTTTCTTTTTTTTCTTTCTTTTTCTTTTCTCTTTTTTTTTATTTTTTCTTTTTTTTTTTTCCCCTCTAGTACATCTTTTTTGTTTTTTTTTTCTCTTTTTTTTTTTTTTTTTTTTTTTCTTTTTTTTCTATGCTCTTTCCCATATGTGGATGCTTTTGTATATGTATATGTCATGGATATATTAATATATATATATATATTATATATATATATATATATACATGTATAGATATATGTATATGTACATGTACCTGCATAGGTATATGTATGCATGCATGTATGTATGTACACCTGCATATGTACAGGTGCCTGTATATGTATATGTAAAGGTATAAATATATGTATATGCGTATGTATATGAACGTTTGAATGTACATGTGTACGTGTATGTAAACGCATGTGTGTCGGTATATGTGTATGTATGTATGTATGTATATATATATACACATGGGCATGTGTATGTATACGTAGTTCATTTATTTGTACATGTGTATGTATACCTATATTTATATGTTTATCCATATGTGTACACATATGCATATCTATATGTATGTGTATATGCATGAGTGTGTGTACATGTGTATGTGCATGTGACGTATATGTTTACGTGCATATTATATATATGTATATATATATATATATCTTTATGTATATGGACATGCATATGTAAGTGTGTATGCACATGCGTATGTACATGTATGTATACATGGACATGTATATGTATATTTATGTGTGTATGTGAATGTATAGATACATGTGTATGTGTATGATATGTATTCATATATAATTACATGTACAGACATGTGTATATGTACATGTATGTGTATGTGCATGTGTATAGTATACGGGTATATATCTATATATACATGAATATATATATATATGTATATATGTATATGTATATGCAGCTGCATGTACGCATGCGGATACATATATATACATGTATATACGTATACACATATACATATATATATATTTATCTATGTAGGTGTACACATTTACATATATTTATATATATATATGTATGCAGATGTTTCATCTACATGGGGAAGGACATCGGGGCCTCGGCCTCGAATATAATCTGGGTCCACCCCGCCTTGGGACCTCCTGGGCCCCCCCCCGGCTGCCCAAGAGGCTGCCAAGAGCACCCAAAAACGCCCCAAAGGCGCTCGAGGACCGCTTCTGCTACTCTCTCGTGCTCTATCCTCCTCCCTCCTCCTTGTCCCTTTCTTCCATCCGTTCTCTCTTCCCCAGCCTTAGGGGCTGCACGAAATACACATTGCAGGTAAGAAAGACCTACCTTCAAGTGGGGTACGATCGCAGACGAAGAGGGCGGGTATCGAGGTTTGGGATATACGTGTTGGATGGCACGTGAGCAGGTAAGAGTGACCAGTCTTACAATGATTGTGGTTGCTGCTTTTATTGTTGTTGTGGTTGATCGCTTTTATGACGACGATGACGATGATGATACGGAGGGCGACGACGACGATGATGAGGATGCTGCTGATGTTGGTGCTGATGATGATGCTGATGACGACGATTACGACATGATGATGATGATGATGATGATGATGATGATGATGAGGTGGATGACGATGGCGACGGGTATTATGAGGAGGCTGAAGATAATGAGGACCCTGATGAGGATGGTGATGATGAGGATGTCGACCATGGCGACGACTATGATGACGATGATGATAAAGCTGGTGTAGTTGCTGTTCGCGATGATGGTCATGGTGAGTAGGATGCAGAGGATGACGAGGATGATGGTGATGGTGATGGTAATGATGATGATGATGTTGCTGATGCTGATGATGCTGATTATGATGACGATAATGGTAATGCTGATGATGATGACGATGATGATGATACATCTGATCATGTATGCTGGTGATGGTGATGGTGGTGGCGGTGGGTGGTGATGATGGTGATGAGGACAATGATGAGGATACTGATAATGAGGATGTCGACCATGCCAACGACTATGATACGGATGCTGATGAATCTGGTGCAGTTGCTGTTCGCGATGATGGTGATGATGAATAGGGTAATGAGGATAACGACGTGGATGTTGGTGATGGTGGTGATGGTGATTCTGACGATGCTGATGATGCTGATGATGATGGTGGTGATGATGATGCTGATGATGCTGGTCATGATGACGATGATGATGATGATGATGATGATGATGATGATGATGATGATGATGATGTGATGATGGTGACGATGACGATGGTAATGCTAATGATGACAATGATGACAATGATGATGCTGCTGCTGATAGTGATGATGATTGGTGATTGATGATTGTGGTGATGGTTGTGATGGTGATGGTTGTGATGCTGATGAGGATGACGACGACGATGACGATGATGACAACGACGACGACGATGATGATGATGATGGTGACGATGTTGTTGATGATGCTGATGCTGATGCTGATGACGATGACGATGATGATGATGATGATGATGATGATGATGATGCTGCTGCTGCTGATGATGATGGTGATCTGATGGTTATGAGGATGATGATGACAATGGTGACAATGATGACGATGATGCTGATGATGCTGACGATGATGATGGTGATGATGATGATGATGAGGAGGAGGAGGAGGAGGAGGAGGACGATGAGGATGCGGAAGATGAGGAAGATGTGAATGAGGATGAGCAGGATGAGGAGGTGGAGGGAGCTTCAGAAGAAGGCCATCACAGGTGTCACCTTTCATCTTCACTTTTTGAGGAACTCTCGTGGAACTCGTTTGGGCCGTCTTGGCCCCGTCTTGCCTCCGGCGAGGCATTCTTTGGGGTTCCTTGGGGCCCTCTTAAGCCGTCTCGGGGCTCTCTTGGGCCGTCTTGGGGCCCTCTTGGCCGTATGGTGGGTGTCTGGGGGCTGTCTTGGCGCCGTCTTAGGCCGTCGAAGGGCTTTTAAGGCTTTCTCGAGTCCCATAGGATGCCCTCTTTGGCCGTCTTGTGGTCGTCTTGGATGCCTCTTGGGCCATCGTATTGTCCTCTTGGGCCACCTTGGGACCTGCTTGGGAGCCTCTTGGGCCGTCTTCGGGTCATCTTGGAACTTCTTGGGCCGTGTGGAGCTGGCGGAAGCCCGAAAAGGTGCGAACCCGAACATCCTTCAATACTCTCGGGGCGAATCAATGAGTTTGGCTTCTTCGGATCTCGTTGGGGATAATTGTAGCCAATTTTGGGCTCTCTTAGAGGCATCCTGGGCCGTCTTGAGGCCATATTGGGCCGCCCTGGGGCCATCTAGGGCTGTTTTCCAGGCATCTTCTGCCATCTGGGTTTCCTTGGTTGCCTGCCTTGGCCGTCTTGGACGCTCGGGTCGCGGACACGTAGTTTTTTGTTCTTCAATTGACAGGGGCCGTGCCCTCGGGGGCGCGGATCCACGTTCTAACGAGGGATCGTGGCCTCGGGAGCTGGGGGGGATGCACGGGAGGGTCTGCGATTAGAGGGGAGGTGGATCCCTTGTTAGGGTACGGAGCCCTCTCCGACAGCACTTGGCACTCGACCACGCCTCAACGTGCCAGGGGGCACGGTGGCAGATCATCTTAACGGTCTCAATGTGCAAATGTGTTGCCGCCGTAGTGCTATAACGCAGTACCGCCTGACCACAGCTTCCATACCCGAGCATTCAAACGTTCTACGGCCACTCGCTGGACACCTGCTTCCAGACGCCGCAGAGCTCGGCGCTAGATTGCTTTGACACCTATCCGCCATCGTATCTGCCGCTCGGTCTACGCACCATACTGCTCGAATGCCTGGGCATTATAGTAACACGTCAACCCGATGCTCTAGCACTTTGAAGCAATGCAAATATGCCCCTGTGCCCTCATTCTCGACGTCCGTGATGTCCCTTTCGTTCGCGTGCTTTGTGTGTCCCTTTCGTCTGTCCCTCTAGTACTTTGATTCCATCCACTCCCTTCGTCCTTGCGTTCCCTCCGTCTGTCCCCCTCTGTTTGGCCTTCTTCGATTATGCCGTTTCTTCTGTCCCGTCTGCCCATCAGATTCATCCATTTCGTTCTTCGATCTTTTCCGTCTGTCCCAGTGTTTCGTTCATTCATCTGTCCCCTTCGTCTGTCCGTGTTTATTCTCGGAGGTTTTTGCCGATTGGACAGACGGCCCTTTTTACATCGGCCACGCGCGCGGGCCTGCGCGCACAGTTCCTGGCAGCGTGGCGACAGAGTCTTCCCCCGAACATTGCTTGCCGTGCTTGGGTTATTCAGCAGCTCAACAGGAATACCCAACCAGCCCATGACGCAAACCTACACCTTTAGCCCGTGCCACTGGCCTCCGCCTTGGCTTGCCTCGAGCTCCACGTCTCGGGACTTTCCGCAGCTGCCCAGCCGCTTCGGCTCCCTGTTCCTGCACCGTTGCAGTAGCCGTTTGCTGACGCCCCTGCTGCTGCCCCTCCTCTTCCTGCTCCCTTCCTCAATTGCTCCCGCTGCGGCTGGTACCCC